TGTTTGACATAACACAAATACACAGGTACTTGTGCATATAAATGGAAAAGACCTAAAAAGATGCTTCGGATAGCAGTTACGCACAAAGAGCACCAATCAAGTTGGAGTCATTACACAGCTGGTGTGAACAGTTGCATTAGTTAAATTAAAAGAGAACATAATTCTTGAAAGAGATGCATGACTGAAGAATGTGAGTGAAATGTGTGTGGGCAATTTTACCAGACACACAGGGCTTTCAAGAATTTGGAAAGCGTCTTCATTGTAAGTACGTCTTTTATTAATGACAGCACATCCCATGATGTGATTACCTTTTATTACATTTTAGCCGGGGGTTTAAAAAGTTGAAACGTCACTGGTCAGGAGTTCTCCGTGGTCCTTTTAACTCTGGAAATGTGACCTTGTCTTCTCTTTTCTTCCTCTGTGTGTGACATGCTGGAATCTTTTACATTTACCTTTTCAGTAAGGTACATTAAAAAGTACATATTGGATTCTATACTTGACATCAAAAGCAATGTTCTTAAACTGATTGACTTTATCGATTAATACAGTGTGAAATCTGACCCCATGATTCATGTACTGTTCAGCTTTGAAAGTTCATTCTTGACCTTGGAAATAGCAGTTTGACTAAAAGTCAGAATCTACTTACTAGATTGTTCAAGAGTATAAACTTGAGTTTTCAGGGTCAAGAATTAACTTTCAAGCTTAACCAGCTCAAATAAGTCTGTAGAAATGGTTGAAAGCCATGGGCGAGGCTAGTACATGGACCTTGAGTAGAGCTTCTTCCGCAAAGTGAACACTTTGTCAGTAGCTGGTAAACTTAGCCTAACGTTATAGGATTCAACCTTGTCAGAAATCAAGTATTTTTACTCTCATTCCAAACTAGCATACTCCAAAGAAAAGTCGCCCCTTCTATATTGTTTAATTATGGAGATAAGATCACTTTGTTGTCATTTTGCACCTCTTTGTGGCTATTTTGCATTGCATTGTGATTATTTTGCATAATTTTTGTCTTTTTGTGGTCGTGCATCTGTTTATGGTCATTTTGTGTAATTGTGGTCTTGGTCTTGGTGATCATTTTGCATCTTTTGTTTTGCATTTCTCTGTGGCGATTATGAGTCTCTTTGTGGTTGTTGTGCACTTCCCAAAGAGAAATAACAGTGACTTTAAACAGAGGCCCTGGCACATGGGGAAGGCCCAGGCCCTCTAATCCATCCATGTGAATAATTCATTTTCCCTTCAGACCCTGAAAGTCTAAATCAATTAAATTCTCTGAAAGCTGAAGCTAATAAAGATTCAGGTTCATGATAAACACTGGCTGGCTTTTGAGGTCGAGGAAGTAAATAAATTCAAAACAAACTATTAGGATCAGTCTTCTTCAGCAAACTGTGATTTATTTAAATCACATAACCTAACCTAACTTTACGACCCCAAAAACTAGAAATAAACTTTTGATTTATGTCTTCTGATTGTAATGAAAAGGGATGTAACCACAATAAATCTTTAAAGGGGAACTAAATTGGTTTGGTCTGCTTTTTATCATAGGGAAGATTTGTCTGTAATAATGTCAGTGCCTACCCACGGTCCGCATGGTGTGCCAAGAGATACACAGCAAACCCTAGGAAATATGTCCCACTCTCACCAAACACATACACAGATTCACACACTTTCAAAAAGAAAGTAAGTCAAAAGGTAATCTTTTGTCCCATACAGGCTATCAATCTGACGGTCTGATTTATAAACCCTATCTATACCTTGTATAGATTTGTCATCTCTATGTAGAAAATCTGCATAGTGGCCTCTGTAAGAGAGAATCCTCAATACTTCCCTTCCACAGCTGGACCTATAGGGCTCTTTGGCCTTCTCTTCACTGTCTGGCTCCTTCCCATGCTAATAATTTATCGACCAGTGAGGGCTGCCTGGAGCATTGAGTGTAAAGGGGTGAATAGTAGAGGTGTGACGAGACACCTAACCCACGAGACGAGATTCAAGATTTGAAATTTGAGATTGGGTTCACAAGATCGAGACGAGATTTTAACACTATTTTTTAGAAATCTTTATTTAAATTTTTATATTTTTATATTTTATATACATTTTGAGCATTGACCACTTTAATTCCTGCATTCTGATGATTTTTTCTGCACCAGGTTATGGTGAAAATGTTTTTATTTATGTAAAGAGAAACAAAATTCAAGTAGCAGGTGACAATTCAAACTCTGCGGCCCAACTCTACCAGAATCTAAGTCAGTGCAGCTCTCAGTCATTCTGTGCTGCTATCAGATCTGTTTCTCCTGTAGATAAACTTTAAATATATATATATATATATGATATCATCCCTGCTGAGTCATGATTTAGTCTTCTCTCCTCTTTGTTTCTTTGTTTGGGGAAGTAACCTCTTTAAATGTGATTGTGGCACCTTTTCACCGCAATGATGATAAATTATTTAATTTTAATTCGGTTAGAAACTCCTGGACTTTATTAGTTCCCGTCTTTGAGCAGCTTTTCTGCTCATGTTCAAAACTTTCTGCACATTCAGAATCTCTGACATGTCCAGAAAAAACACTAATGATAATATTACCAGACTAACGTCATCATTTAATGAGAAGTCTACCTGCCCCTTACTCTGCTTTGCATTACGTTACTGATCCGCTGGTAGTAACATTTCAGACTGTTTGACCGACGCAGTTTGGGACTGCATGTTGCATGTGAAACCGAAAGTAATTGGAACACTTATGATCAGGCAGAAATCTTTAGCAGCTCATAAAGTGCTCACAGTCCCAAACAGAGCAAGGTTGCGCCTCAGTTATTTAGATATTTATGTTGCAAAACTCTACCAGCTACATTACCACTCATCACAGCTGTCTGGACTCACAGCGCAAGCAGCGCGGTTCAGTTGATCAGGGCGTACGCCGATGTTGCGTCAGCTGGGCGGAGTTGATTCTCTCTGTGAGTCTATCTTACCAGTTAATTACATTTGTATTTCACTGTGTGAGAAAATTAATGTGTGGCTTGACAGGCATGTGGAAAATGTCAATTGCGTGAATCTTGCGAGACCGCTTTTTACCTGATGAGAAATATCATCATAATTTAATCTCGTGGAACAAGATCTCGTCACACCCCTAGATAATAGTGTGAATAGTATTAAAGGAAGTAAGCTTCTTGTATTCGCCTCTAGCAGTGGCTGTGGCTCAGGAGGTCTGGATGTCAAGGTGTCCTTGGGAAAGATACTGAACCCCAAAATGTGTGTGTGAATGATTAGTTTCTGTTTCTGATGAGCAGGGGGAACCATGGATGGGAGCCTCTGCCATTAGTGTATGAATGTGTGTGAATGTGACATGTAGAGTTAGGGGCTTTGTGTGGTCAGAAGTCTAGAAAACGGCATACAAGTACAGTCTATTTACATTATCAACCCATTGGAATTTTTACCGTATTAAACAGTAGAAAATTGAAAGGCATACTGCATTATTGCACCTAATCTTCCTGAAATCTAAATCCTTTAGTCCGGAAAGAAGTCAACCTCCTCCTTAAGCCAAAGCTGGACTTTCTGGTAGCACCGGCACCTACGTTCTATCTAAGCTTATGTATTTCATCTTGATTTCTGAGAGGAACCCAAAAGCAGATCGGACAAAAGGGAGTGAGTTTATTGTACAGTTATGGAATGTGCAACAGAGTGGACTGGCAGATGAGGGGAGGAGGAGTCCAGGAGGCTGCTGTATTGAGGGGAGCTGTCCGGTGGGCTTGAGAGTGGGGCTTGACCCACGTGACTGAGTTCCAGATAGTGAGCAAACAGGGCTGAAGATCCAGGGCTGAAGATCAGAATCAGCTAATGACATTCTACACAGCAATCCATCTCCTTCTGTTATGACACCTTTATGGCATAATCCAATAAATGAATTCAATCATAGTTTTTTTCATTTCAACACTGAAAGTCTTTATTCTGCTGGCAGCTGACACCAGACTCGAAAGGGATAAGCCCCTATGTTTTTGGTGACCCTTTGACTTTTCATCTAGCACCTTCATAAGGTATATTTAAGAATGTGAAATGTCAGAATAATATTAGAGAGAATAATTTATTTCCGCTGTTATTTCTGTCATCACAGTTTCAATGGGTCAGAATTTACATACACTGCCTTTAAATAGACTGCTCAAAATAATTAAGGGAACACTTACATCACACATATCTTGAATAAAATAGTTTGAAGTTCCAAATCTTCACTGTACAATGTAAATTCGCTGAGAACAAAATTACATAAAAACAGTTAATGGAAACCAAAATCACAAACCAGGCTGGATTCAAAATCACACCGAAAATCAAAGTACAGGGGGATCCAACCTGTGTGACTTTCATCACGGCAACATAATGTGTTTCAGTAGTGTGTAACATCTGAGCATGCTCCTGATGAGACGGCAGATGGGGTCCTGGGGGATCTCCTCCCAGACTTGGATCAGGGCATCACTGAGCTCCAGGACAGTCTGTGGCACCACTTGGCAGTATCGGATGCACTATACATAACATCCCAGAGGTTCTCAATTGGATTTAATTCTGGGGAATATGAGGCCATTCAATGGCATCAATTCCTTCGTCATTCAGATTCTGAAACCATACCATTGTACAGATGAACATTGTACCTTCAGGTGTTTGGAAATTACTCCCAAGGATGAACCAGACTTCTTTTGATTTTCCCATAATGTCAAGCAATGAAGCACTGAGTTTGAAAGTAGGCCTTGCTTAAAACACATCCACAGGTACACCTCCAGTTGACTCAGATTATGTCAATTAGCCTATCAGAAAGAGCCTTATAAACATTATACCTGCTATACACCAACATGTTAGCATAAGCATTTGAGCATGTTAACATGCTGACATTGGCTTAAAAACACCATTGTGCTTACGTACAGCCTCTCCAAGCTGCTAATATGGCTGTAGAGTCTTAGTCTTGTTTAATAATGTGATATGCTGTTTGATAATTTATATACTATTGACCAAGAGTGTTGTCTTTCAGCACTGACTTCCAGAAGAATAACCCTGTGCACAAACTGACTGAAGAGGAACTCCTGGCCTTCACATCTGTAAGTCATTGCTTATTGTGATTTAAAATTTAATAGTTACACATGCTCATTTTGTGGCCTATTGCCCATAAAGGTAAGTCAGAAATAATTGGTGAAACTGATTTCCATGCATTTGCAGTTCACGGTTTTACCTTAAAGGTACAGTGTGTAATATTTCTGAGTATCTATCGACAGAAATGCAATAAGAGACGTTGCGTTGTCATGTTTTTACAGTAGTTGAAAGTGGACAAACAGCGCTACAGAGTGCCTTTTGTTACAACATTCTTCTTGTTCTACTTCTGGTAGAATTCAGGCAGTGCAGACACTCATGACTATGTTGAATATGCACGTTAGAAGAAGTAGTAGTAGTAATAAAATCCAGCAGGGGTCTGCAAATAAGTTTTGCATCGGAGCAATATTTTCATCCATTAATGGTGGCTGAGAATATAAGCCGTAATATTGACTTACTTCAACATCTGGTTCGTTTACCTTAGTTGGGAAGTTGCGGGGCTAGCAATCCAAGGGTTGAGTATTCGATCCCACCTCAGGACATCTTTTTTTTCTCTCTTCAACAAATGGATTCTGCAGCGATTGTTTCTCAGATCACAGCATGTGCTGCAGTGTTTGATCCTCATCCATCAACAATTCATTTCCCCAGTATCTCCAGGCAGAGGACATTTAGGGGAATCACGTTTTCTGACTGCTCTTTCAGAGGTGTGTCAAGCAGGCAACAGACTCTTTTAATGTCGTTCAGAATTTTTCAAAGTAAAAGCTCAGTTCAACTCCAACTACTGCATTACAGCAAACAAGCTTCTCGTGCTTTTATTTTGTAGGAAAAACCACTAATAAGGAAGTGATTGTGTGAGTAACTGTTGCTGTCATGACTGAGATCTATTCCAGCACCACTATCAAAGTATTTATTTATTTATATTTTATGCTGCCACCAAAGCACCATAATCTGGTAGCGGGCCAGATATTGTTGCTGGTGTGCAGTTTTGGCGAGGGTCCATAATCACAGAGAGAATGAATGTGTTTCATCGTTAACATGTACAAACTGAGATGGATCTGATAAATAGCATTGTGTGAACTCTTTTGGCAAGGGCTTGAATGTAACGGACATTAATTTATATGTAAAAGGTCCTGCACTCTAGCTTGAAATTATCAGTAGGATGTAAAAGACTTTGCTGTGGTCCACAAAAACCCCCCGATTTTTTTCCAACCTTTATTTATTCAGGGGAGCTTCACTGAGAGGAAGGCTCTCTTCTGCAGGAAGGCCCTGATCACATTCACACTGTTACAACCGCAGCCTGGTCTGCTGGCCACTAAGCAGCTCCACTGGAGCTGTTGGGGTTATTGGCCCTTGCTCAAGGGCACGTCTGTGGTGGTAAATGAGGGAGGGAAAGCTACACTGTTATTGTCTTTAAATTAAATCAATCAAAATTTAAAATGGCATTAGATTTTGTAATGAGTGAATTATGACTTTTTAAAGACTTGAAGCACACAGTTTAGGACTTGGACTTAATTGGGAACATTGGATCTTGACTTGGGATTTGACTTGGGAGTTTTTGGTCTTGACTTGGGAATTTATAGCCAAGACTTGAGAATTAATTGTGGCTTATAAAGCTTTGCGCAGCTCTGCTGTAACTGGACGATGTGAACTTGCAGTAAATTAGTTTCTAAAACTATTTCCACTTTGATTCACATTGAAGGAAACAATATGCATGCATTAACATACCTAATGACGGTATTCATAATAGCACATATGAAAAAAAAAATCATGCACGTTGTTTGTCACTTCTACTTATTTTATGAAGGAAGCATTGGTTCCCAGACGTTCATCAAGTCCCAGTTTTTCATCTGATGAACCTTGTCATAAGACTTTCTGGTGTGCAAGAAATTCATAGTATAGTATAACATAGTATAACAATAGTGTATATATAAAACAACACATTTCGAGAGAGTAACTCACAGCTGATCCACTGTTAAAACATCCTTTGTCCTGAACCTATGACTTCTTCTGGTTATTTTGAACAATGAGCTGGCAGAGTATGCTTTATTGTCACTGTGCGGGATAAGAAAGCTGCAGGCAGCTGCTAGGTCTGTGAGCAGGCATCTTCCCAGTCTACATGTAGATCCAGGAATCTGCAGGCTGGTTAGATGGTTGTCACATGTCTGGCTGTCATCACTAATGTCGCATTCCTGGAGGACCATCTGGAAGTTGTGCTGATGTCAGTTATTACCTAAGCTTTCCTTGAAAGCTTATCAACCACCTAAAGAAGTAGTTGTTGGTTTCAATTTCATATGATTAGATTATATTTAACTTTATTTTCACTATGCAGAGTACATAAAGGATTGTATATATTTTCCTTGAAGATATATATAAAAATGAATCAGGTTATGTCATCCCTTAAGGGAAAACCTGACTGTCAAACAGTCTCCAGATCTCGAAAGTGCATGCTCTCTGACCAGATACTGTGTGTGAAGCGGACAAACCTGGAATTATTGTCCTCTGGGACTTAAGAAAAGTAACCTCAGCCACCAACTCCCCAAATACAGCTCATTAAATGCCCAATAACTTGGAACATTGTTACAATACTTGGCAGTGCCTATCACGCCATCACCCACATCACACTGGAACACTCTACATACAGGCAGAAATTAAAGCTCTGTAAAACTGTTGTGAGGACAAAGCAATGGACCTGGGAAGCTATTTTCAGGACTGCTACCAACATTCTGAATGAGTAAACATAGGCTGTGACGTGATACATCAGCTTATGTATGTATCATGTATTATGTATGCATTATGTATCCATACACCAGCTCCAGCTCAACCTACCGCACCACAGAAGGAGCCTTTCTACAACTGCCAACCCCCCACTAGCACTCTCTACATCCTAGAGAGGGATGTCAACACACTGTTCAAGAGGCAGGAAGCCTGCAAAGCAGCCGTACCAGACTCTGTCTCTGCCTCCACCCTGAGGCACTGTGCCAATCAGCTGTCAACTGTTCAGACATCTTTCAAAAAAACAAATAGCCTACAACAGGACTAGGAATATAGAGCCATTGCTCAGAATTTTGATAATCCAAAAAATTTAGTTATAATGGAACAACTTCTTGTTAGGTTAAAGACAAATTAGTAGTAGGTGTGTCTGAGTAACACGAAACTTGGGCCATCTATTCACTATGCCACTAAATAGCACCTTTGTTGCCAAATCATGAAATACTTTTCTAATTCCTCCTTGACTGAGCGACTCAAAACTTTGCACATAGAAGCTATGGAGTGTCATGGTCAAAAGATATTAAATCATTTTGATTCTCCAAAAGTTATGTACTGAACTTGGGCTGCCTGGGGGCTTGAAACCTGTTAATACCTGCTTGCAGGTCTAGTTTCCATTTAATTCTATTTTCAGGTTACAGTTGTTGAAACACTTCCCCTTATATTATACCATGTTAGGGAGGAGTTTTGCACATTGAACCACTGGAGGGACATATATACAGAAGTGTTGAGTTTTGGTGACTGTTGCTTAACAGTTATTAAAAAACAGAAAATTTTAAGGGAATTGAAATAATTAGTGAATGTAAACAGTATTTCTGATCAACTGACTAGTATAGCCGTGACATGACTTTTTTTTACCAAGATAACAGTGCGCGCACAACACAAGGTTCAGAATCTCTGCAGATTCTGTGAATTAATTGTTATCTGCCTGTCAAAAGTGTGAAGTCTTCAGAGAGAAGCCGTGGATGAACAGAGAGGTCTGCCTATCACTGAAGGTTACACCGCTTTCAGATCAGGTGACGCACTGGCCTACAGTTCATCCAGGGCTAACCTGAAGAGGGCCATCAAGAGGGCAGCCACAAACTAAGGATTAAGGAGCACTTCAACAACAACCCGGACATGTGGCAAGGCATCCAGGCCATCATGAAAAGAACCGTTTTTATTTATAGGCAGCCATTGAGGCTGTGCTCCACACAGACCACCAGCTCCTCACTCTCCACCAACGACGTGTGTGCTGCACTAACACACACACGTATGTTTGCCTGTCAGCCTTGGCAAACAATGCGCTGCTGTCTTCTCCTTGCGCTCTAAGATGCTGTTAAAAGCTAATAAAATTTGATTACTATTTTTTATTTCATGAGCTATTTGGTAGAATGCATAGGCCTTATCATAAAAAAAAAAAAAAAGCATTCAATTTTAAAAGTATAATATGTGCATGATGTTTCCTAATACCTCGTGCAGACTACACGACTTTCATCATCGACCAATGGCCATGCTGTTCAGACTACACGACTTTCATCATCGACCAATGGCCATGCTGTTCAGACTACACGACTTTCATCATCGACCAATGGCCATGCTGTTCAGACTACACGACTTTCATCATCGACCAATGGCCATGCTGTTCAGACTACACGACTTTCATCATCGACCAATGGCCATGCTGTTCAGACAACACGACTTTCATCATCGACCAATGGCCATGCTGTTCAGACTACACGACTTTCATCATCGACCAATGGCCATGCTGTTCAGACAACACGACTTTCATCATCGACCAATGGCCATGCTGTTCAGACTACACGACTTTCATCATCGACCAATGGCCATGCTGTTCAGACTACACGACTTTCATCATCGACCAATGGCCATGCTGTTCAGACTACACGACTTTCATCATCGACCAATGGCCATGCTGTTCAGACTACACGACTTTCATCATCGACCAATGGCCATGCTGTTCAGACTACACGACTTTCATCATCGACCAATGGCCATGCTGTTCAGACTACACAACTTTCATCATCGACCAATGGCCATGCTGTTCAGACAACACAACTTTCATCATCGACCAATGGCCATGCTGTTCAGACAACACAACTTGCCATCTTGTGACGGGAGTTATGTCGTTGTGGTGTTCACATTACGTGACTGATCGGTGACAGACACACACTACACCAGCTGACAGCAGGTTTCCAAACCACGTTTTGTCAAGAAAACACATGTGAAATGTGAAATGGCGCGAACCTACACAGACCAATTATAAAGACAAACAATACAGGTGAAAGAATGGATTAACTCACGCAGGTAGCAGGGATCGTCTGAGCTACAGAGAGCTGGAGGGGAGTAAAAAGTGTTTTTTGGTGACAAAAGTAGCTGCCTGCTCTCATTGGCTGGATGTGGATGTTGAGTCGGCTGACTCCTCCAGATATCTGGCAGACGTCTGCAATGTGTCAGAAATGTGTCGGGGAGCCGTTTTGATGCGTCGTTGTGTAGTTCACACATAACGACTGGCAACCGCCGATCGACCACTGATTTACCCCCGATCACAGCCTGACTGTCGTCGAGCGGCAAAGCGTGCTAAAAATCGTGTAGTGTGAACTAGGCTTAAGTCAGTCTGTCATTTTTGCCATTATCGAGCAGCCCTATCTCACCGCCTCACTTGACCACCTCCAGTTTGCATTAGCATACTGTTTTATCAGACTCTCTTCTGCCTCTTGCTAATCTTGCTAAAAGTCAACCTGGTTTATTTACAGATATATAAAGTTTATCTCTACCGGGTGAAATACCAGATTGTGCATTGCTAGGCAAAGCTGGAAGGTCACTGGAAGTTCAACATGGCACCTCATGGCAAAGAATTCTTAGAAGATCTGAAAAAAAGAATGGTTGCTCTACATAAAGATGGCCTAGGCTATAAGAACATTGTCAAGACCCTGAAAATGAGCTGCAGCACGGTGGCCAAGACCATACAGCGGTTCAACAGGACAGGTTCCACTCAGAACAGGGACCCAAACAAATAATCTTAAAGTAAACAACATTTAATATTTGGTGGCATAACCGTTGCTTGCAATAACTGCCTCAAGCCTGCGACCCATCGACATCACCAAACTGTTGCATTCTTCATTTGTGATGCTATTCCAGGCTTTTACCGCAGCTTCTTTCAGTTCTTGTTTGTTTCGGGGTGTCTCTCCCTTCAGTCTCCTATTTAAGGAGGTGAAATGCAGCTCTATTGGGTTAAGGTCAGCTGACTGACTTGGCCAGTCTACAACCACTTTTTCCCCTGATGAAGTCCTTTGTTTTGTTGGCAGTGTGCTTTGGCTCGTTGTCCTGCTGCACGATAAACTTCCTCCCCATTAGTTTCAATGCATTTCTGCATAAACTGGCAGACAAAATGTTTCTGTCCACTTCTGAATTCATTCTACTGCTACCATCATCAGTTCCATCATCAATAAATATTAATGAGCCTGTTCCAGAAGCAGCCATGCACGCCCGAGCCATGCCATACCCTCCAGCATACTTCACAGATGAGCTTGTGTGCTTCGGATCATAAGCAGTTCCTTTCTTTCTCCACACTTTGGCCTTCCCATCACTTTGGTAGAGATTAATCTTGGTCTCATCAGTCTATAACATTGTGTTGCAGAACTTTTGCAGCTCATCTCTGTACTTCTTTGCAAATTTCAATCTGGCCTTCTGGTTCTTCCTGCTGATGAGTGGTTTGCATCTTGTGGTGTGGCCTCTATATTTCTGCTCTCTGAGTCTTCTTCCAACAGTGGATTGTGATACCTTCACCCTGCACTGGTGGTGATGTCACCTCCTGATGTTTTGGGGGTTTTCTTCACAGCTCTCACCATATTTCTGTCATCAGCTACTGTTGTTTTCCTTGGCCGACCTGTTGGACGTCTGTTGCTCAGTACACCAGTAGTTTCTGTCTTTTTCAGGACAGTCCAAATTGTTGTGCTTGCTATGTCCAATGTTTGTCCAATGGCTCTGCTCGATTTTCCTTCTTTTCTCAGCTTGACAATGGCTTGCTTTTCTCCCATAGACAGCTCTCTGGTCTTCATGTTGGTTTATCCTCTTTAACAGGAAATGCAGTCTTTGTAGGTTTGAACTAAGGATCAAAACCTAAAAGGCAACACCTGGGCAACAAGAAATATCGTCAGTCACATGTTCCAATAGTTTTGCTCACTTGAAAAATCGGTGGGTTCAAACAAAGGGTGCTATGTCCTGAATTGTTTAACACTTCTAGATGTGAATACCAGCAAATGAGAGCTGAAATTCTGAACTCTTGTCTCATACTCATCTTTTGATCTTAAACCCATATGTCTTCAGTGAACAACAAAAACAAAGGAATTTGCCTTACCGTTCCAATACTTTTGGAGGGGGCTGTATAATTATCTGTACTATAACGTAGAGCCTGACCGATTTACCGGTCGATATGAGCTAACTAACAGATGTTAGTTGAGAAATGGTTTCTTGTAGCTTTGGTTAAAATTAAAGAGTGCTGGTAAAGAGATAAAGTAGATGTGAATATGCTACACTGAAAGAAGTTATCAGCAAAAAGTTATTTATTGATGACCAACCTTTATTTGTTTGTGCTGGATATTGGAGACTTAGCCATTATTTGAATACTAGCTTTTTTTTGAGTTTATGGTGTAATTATAATTATAGGTTGCAGAATTGCATCTTTGGAGCAAGGTTTTTGCCTAACTTAACCAGAGCGGATCATAGCTAATTTGTGACCAGATGTCATTGACTGTCCTCAGACATCAAATAAACAAACCAAACTTGACTGTTATGTCATTAGAATATGACGATAAGCATTGTCTCTGAATATGATTTGTTATGCATCTTGAATGACTTAATGCTGTTAAAAGAATTATCTCATTCTTTGTCACTCCAATGTTTTTTCTGCAGTGTATTCTATCTCAGCCTAAGTTCTGGGCTGTAGAAGTCACAGCCCTTTGCCTCAGGACCAAACTGGAAAAAGGGAGCTCTCGATGTGTTGAGAGGGCCATGATGCAAACCCAGGTAAGGAGATATATGGGGGGAATGTATTTATGTATTAATTATGAATCCAAGAATCAGGATGACATGTTAGGATCTGTCTTTTCCACTTGGAAAATGTGTTGGAATCAGATTTTGGGTTGCTTCTTACTTCACAGTATCTCAGTTTGGCACAAGCAAAATTGCAGTGAAACCTGAGATACCAACTAAATGTTTTAAACCAACTCAACAATGCCATCTCAAGTTTAAGGGGCTAGATGGGAACATGAACAGCCTTAGACACCTGTGCAGGGTGGAAGCTATTGTGAATCAGTCAGTGAAAACATTATTATAGTGACTTATTTTGCACCAGATGAACATAGAGATTACAGAGCAAGGCACTTGATACTTGATACTTGATGAAGGTAATTGATTGGAATGTTTGTAGTTGCCAATCCTCAGGAAGAAGCTGGTACATGCACATCCTTTTTGTGCTCTGAATAGAGCCCTCACTTCTCCATTCATCCAGCCTTTCTGTTTGGGGAATGCTTTTATTGTCTTAGTGATCACCACATCATCAACACATTTGCCTCTAGGTTGATGTGGTTCTCCTGGGTGGCGGCCTCTTGGGACATGTGCCAGCTGGTGGAATAGAGATAAAACGGTTCTAAGATCTGTTTTAGTAAAATCACCACCTACAGTAAAAACACCCTCAGGATGTTTAGTCATGTGACTGCTGATAACCTCATACAGTTCATTTAGTGCATTTTTTTTTAAATTTGCATCTGCAGGAATTTAAACAGCAACAACAAAAACACTGGTAGACTCTCTGGGCAGATAATATGGCTGATATAATATTAATATTATATCATGTGATGGCCTTTAGGTCCGCTGCACTTAAACCAGTCCCTGCGCTTCATTTTCTGACATTGATGAGTGAATTTCAGTCAAGATAATACGTTCTTCAGTAATGGAGAAAAGAGAACAAATTAAATAAAACATGTAGGAAAGTTTGAAGGAGATACTGGCCACCACATCTGCATTCACCGCATTCACCATGACAACTCATGCCCATTTCTTTCTTTTATTCCCAGTTAATGCAGTTATTATTTCCAGAATAAGCCACAACAAGCTTTAGTTTTATTCATGATGCATATGCTCTTAGAGATAAATTACAGTCCATAAGTATTGCAATCGGCACATGTGTGGATGTTTTAGCCTTTACACCACATAACAAGACTACTAGTGAGTCCATTAACAAAAAGTTGCAGAGCTCAGGATGGCACGGAGTTATTGAGTCACCTTGTTCTCTCTTTGCAAACAACCCTGAGCACAAATAAAACCATTAATCCATCACAGCTCCAAATGTTATTTTGGATGTTGATCAATAACACCTTTGAAAGACCAAACACTGATGTTATCATGGGATTATTATGGGAAAGCTGGAAAAGAAGTAAAATATCTCAACTATTAAACTATAAACTCGACTGCTGGCTGAAAGATGACAGTTGCTATGCTCATGCTGAAAGAAACTGATAACACCTGAATTGTTTCCTTTTAGGCTTGAGGCAGTGTACTGGAGAGTAAAATTGAAAGGACTAAATGTCATTTTCTTAGATGTACTTTATGTAGTTGGAGTGCTGTCCTAGAAAGGTTTACGGTTTATTGAGCAAAGTTCTTTATACAAACAGAAAATATTGTGTACGGTGAAATACACCATTAATAACACAATGCTCTCTATAGTGTGGTTTGAGTAAAAAGCTGATGTATTTTCCCATTATGTGTGTATTGAAACCTTTATTGGGTGACTATTTTCAGCATCTTCAGTTTTTTAACTGATTATTTTTTGGCAGATGGGAAACAGGGAGAGAGGGGTTTGACATGCAACAAAGGTCCTTGGCTGGAATCAAACCAGTTACTGTGACCATGCAGCCATGGTAGTATATGCTGTAACCATTCGGCTTCCAAGGCAACTCAGCATATTCAGTTTTAAACAATTTAAGTCCCAAACTGAATCTTTTACATTTAATAAGGCTTGGTTTAAAGCAGTTAAAATTTCCTGGTGTATCAGTAAAGTTACCATAAGTGGCAATATCGGGAAACAGTGTAGATAAAGGTTTGACAGCATTGCACAAAAAAAGATGTATTGACATATCTTTGATAGTGAGGAGACAGCTAGTTCAACACGAAAAGCACCCATTCCTGCTAGATTACTCTGTAACATCAACACTGCATAGCTACTGTTTATTTCACAACATCAAAAGAGAAAATAGTTGACCAGTCTCAACACCGCCTTAGTCTCCAGAATTAAGCCTAACATTCCTTTAATGGACTGACTATAGTGCAGAGTCGCCCAGTTTTGATGTCTTTGTCATTCTGTACATTTTTTATTTGAAGCCATCCACTTAAAACAGATCTGTTATTACATATTATGGGGTAGAATTTGATGCATCAGACTAACCGAACCTGGGCCGCTGCGATAATGACTCAGCCTTGTGCATGGGGCGTGTGCTCTACCAACTGAGGTAACCACGCCCCAGTGTGAAATTCCATAAGAGATGCTAAAAATTTGGTTGATAGATTCTCCATTCTCCAAAGTTCACAGTACGTATACTACTATAGAGGACTGATGAATTCAGAAATAAATACAGAAATAAATTAATTCTCAATAAATAAATCCCACATATATATATATATATATCCCAATAACATCCCATTAAAAGCACAAAAATACAGTAAATAAATGTAGGCAGTAATTAAATTATATAATGAGACATAAATGTATATATCACTTTTAATTAGCTTCTTTATTTATTCACCTTTGTATTAATTACCTTACTTATCTATTGTCCGTTATAATTGTCAATGTGTTAGGATCCGTCCTCCATATACTACAGGTTTACCTGAATCACTAAAATGGCATACTGTATTTGTATTGTACGTACACAATTAAGACAAAACAGGTGCATGTTAATCCCAGTGAACAGTCTTCAGTGTCCCCTGTCTTCGTCCCAACAAACAGCTTGTCCCGGGGGCTTTATCTCTCACAGCAGTCAAACCTATGCAAGCTCAAACAAGTTTGTGTTTCTTGTCCTGTCACACTCTGTGTATATTGAACGGTCTTCACTGACTGTGGCAGATATCACTAAGTCACATATCCAATTTTCTGAAGGATAAAAGGAAGATCAGAAGAAACATTTTATGCTGCAGTGTCAAGAAGCTCTTGACAGCTGATCAGTTTTAGCTGTGTGGAGAGGATGTTAACCTGCTGCAAGGATGATGAGAGAAGGAAATGGCAAAGAAGCTTCTGTTTCTTGCTCCTGTCATGTTTTTTTTTTTTTTACAGGGAATTGTTGTCCTATTTGTATGAAAGAATGTGTGTAGCGCTGCCATACAGGGAGACAGTAACAGCTGTGACAAGACAGCCTTACATGAGAGTTGTGTTCACTGTTTGCTGTTTGTCTCTCTTGAATGTTCCCTGTCATCGGCCATTTAGTACCTAATGACCCCTACAGTATGTCCATCCTGTAGCCCTCAGACAGGCTTATCACAGCGAATATAGACATGTGCAGGACCGGTCGATTGGAAAATAACAGACCTGCAGAATTTCATCTCCTGTTTTCCTCTTGCAGGCATTAGTCGACTACTTTGAAGACAAGACCTGTCCTGTGACCGAGCGGCTCAAGGTCTTCTACTGCTGCCGAGCCCCGCCCAAATGGGCTGTCCAGGTAGCAAACACTTTTTTTTCAAAATCACAAGCCAAATTTGAATGTTTGGCATTTTAATAAGCCAAGAGAAAATGTATGCAATGTAAGGGGGCTGCAGGGCCTGCATCATATTTACACACCATATACCACTATTCCCACTTTGTCTGGTGCAAACGAAAGAGTGCTAGTAATGTAACAAAACTGTAGTGCTGGTTGCCAGATAGTGTGACAGAAGAACTTAACTGAACCTAACCTTGAGGTCACACTCCAATGTTGAAGTGCTCATAAGGACGATGTTAACATGCTGGTGTTTATGAGGTATGTGTTTAACATTGCATTTAACATTTGCAAATTAGCACTAAAGTACAGCCGAACCTGTGGGAATGTCATTAGTTCAGCAGGTATTTGATCAGAAACCAAAGTACTGGACTGGTTGACACTTCGGGAACAAGAGTGTCCATGGAAAACAATCAACTGTCACAAAATTTTATTCTTGAAAATGTCAACTATATGGTTGCTATAGATGAAAAGTCAGAGGATCGGCAATGTCATTAGCATACATCATCTGGGACATGAATGTCTGCATTCTGATTAGTGAAAACTTTGACCTGCTGGTGTTTCTAGAGCAAATATCGGGATTCATCCCAGTGGGACCTTTAATATCTGAACCAAATTTCATGGCAAACCACCTCATATTGTTGAGACATTTCACTAAAAAACAAAACTGTCAGCCTGCTGATGTTGTTACAGGGTAAGTCATAGGGTCAGGTCAGCAGAGTTCATTCTGGGAACCTTTGAACGTGTAACTGTTGCTATACCCTGCACAATTTAAACAATCTATCAATATATCTATCATCCCCTGCAAGAACTGTTTGTTGGTCCACAACAGGCTGTGTCCACAAATACTGAACTATGATGTCGCAATGTTCTGTTGATAGTCATGTTTCTAGCAGGATGGTGATGATCTTGGTGACCCCCTGACCTTCTGTTTTACCCAACTATCATGTCAAAACAGTACATTAATTAAGCTCGTGAGAGGACAAACCCTTTAGCATGTGTTTATTTCATTTATTTTACAAAATGACAACTTCCACGCATGATGTCACATAATCTTATTGGCAGATTATATTGTTACTCCCACCACTGGTAGGACATAAATAAGACAGGGAAAATGAGATTTTGTGACACCTTTGCTGAACCACAAAGCATCATAAGGTCTACAAAGACAGACATTAGACAGTATAACACAGCCCGAGATAGGCAGTAGAATAAAATGGAAAGAGTGTGAAGTAGAATAAGCACTAAAGATTTAGACTACTAATCCGAGAGATTGAAGGAGTGTTGAGAGAGGTAGAGATCAGCTGGGGAGGAGATATAATGTCAGGCAGCATGTAATAACTGATAACAGCAATAAAGCTGGAACCGAAGAGTCCCTATTGCCGCCTGAAGACTTGAAAGTGGGTTGATGCGGAGGATTGCAGCAAGCCCTGTGGGACATTTTCTCCACACTGGAGAACCTTGGCCTGCATGTAACAAAGCACTAAAGGCCCTTTAATGGTTGGGGGTGTTCTGTTTTTGTGTGTGTGTGTTGGGCTTTGTTTTGATGAGAAACCATTTCATTTTCATGCTGTTGGTGTGAGGGCAGTCTTTATATTTACATACTGTTGGCGTCCACATTTCAGGCCAAAACTACACATATATTTCACATGACTGCTTACCATTTTCTAAAGCTTGGTGTAAAATTTACAACAGATTTTCTGTTTGTCAGGGACCAGATTGATGTTCCTACATTTTACAGTGGTATAAATGTCAACTTTCAAATCCATGTCATATATATATATATATATATATATATATATATATATATATATATATATATATATATATATATACATACAGACAGAGAGAGAGAGACACAAACACACGAACACACACGCCTACTGTTTTTTTATTTAATTTTTATTTTTTTTATTTTTTTTAACACACACACGCTTACTGTTTTATTTATTTATTTTATTTTAATTTTTAATCTTTCTTTCTTTTTTTTTTAAACACACATACGCTTTGATTACTTTATGCTTTAATTACTGGGCTGATTGTTCTTATGTTGTATACATGGTGCTTTGGCAATGTTGTTGTTGCATTCATGCCAATAAAGAGAGAGAGAGAGAGAGAGAGAGAGAGGATATGGTTCATAAACAATGTATCATATTGAATTATTGATTCCTCAACTTTTATTGTAGCGCCACCAACAGGTTGACTTTGAGTGAAATGAATCAACAACTATTAGATGGATTGCCACAATGGGTCAGACATTCATGTCATGGTAAATTGTGCAATACTTGGCTACAACCTCATGTTTAGTGCCGGTTAGCAAATCTTAGCATGCAAACATGCTAAACTAAGATGATGAACATGGTAACATTATGCATGCTTAACATCACCATCCAGCATGGCTGTAGCATCTTAGTCTTGTGCTCTCCTGCTCCACAGAAACAGCTGGCCAGCCTGCTGACAGACCTTGGCTGCATGAGCTCAGCTCTGCTCATTTATGAACAGCTGGAGCTCTGGGAGGATGCAGTTATCTGCTATGAGAGGCTGGGCCAACATGGAAAGGTAAAAAAATACTCAGTTTTCATACCTAACTAAAAGTACCAATACCAAACGAAAAATGTTACTCAAGTAAAAGAGAGAGTCATCCAGAATAATACTACTCAAGTAAAAGTAAAAAAGTACCTGGTTTTAAAAGTACAAAAGTATCTACTATCTATTGATCTTACAAAAAACAACGCAGACTGTCTGATAGACACAGTTTGTAACTGCTTGTTAGGATGAGACAAGGAGAAGGAAACAGAAACTAACTAAAAACACTCGTGATCAGGCAGAAATCTCACCACAAATTCACAGAGATGTTAACCTCAGCACCTCTGATAAAGAGGGTACACCAAGACTGTGTTTTTTAAGAGGTGACGGATCACCTGTTCAAAAACTTGCTGTTAAAAGGTTGCTGCTAAAGGAGTGAATAACTACATCAAACTTGATGCAGCACCAGCGGGATCTCCACCCAGCTTTGCACGCCCAAGTAAAGGTAATACATAATAAGTGAGTTAAATAACGTGGCAAGTTTAAGTATATAAGGAATTAAATATCAACGTGTCACTTACAATCGATGCCGTAGCGATGATAGTTGTGCTTTCAGTGCAATGTAAACAAACAAAGCTGCATGTAACCTTTCAGACCCACTGCAACACCAGCACCGCTGTGCTATGAAACTCATTATTTCAATGACCTTCGCCGCACCAGGGCGGTTTGTTGGTGCGTCGAGCAACGCGCAGCGCACAGAAAGTGAGCACGCACGTTGCGGTCAAAGTAGTTGAACTTTTGTGCTGAACCCAGCTTCCACGCACTAAGGGCCCGATTTACTAACACCCCGAATAAAGACTACTAAATTGCGTGTGCATTCTAAAATATTACATGTGTAATTTTAGTACCTGTTATGGCTGATTAACTAAGAATTATTGCGTAGATGACAACCAGTGCAAACACAATGGAGGTGGCAGTATTTAAATGATTTTGCTTGTTTTAATGGTTTCCGCCATGGAGAGTCTGGAGGGAAAGCAGCCACTGAGTAAAAACCTTGGTTGGTTTCATGCAGTGCGTCCCAAGTATGTGGAAATTGTCTGAGATTGCACTAAGTACTTGGGACAGCACACCTAAAAACTGCTTTGGGAACCCCAGCAGAAACAGCTACAGTATGCTGGAATGATCCAGACGCAACGAAATTCCAGCAGCTCCTTCTGCATCCAGCCAGAGGGAACAATCACCGATCGTCCGGTCTCTCTGTGATCTCCTGGCCCTGTACACCCCAACACCCCATTCTCTCTCCGATACCTACAAGGGGTTGTGTCGCGGCGCACTGTGAACAGTTGGTGATCGTTCCCTCTGGCTGGATGAATTTTACGCGTGATCCATGCACTGCAGCTGGGGGCTCTCCGCAGCGCCACACAACTTTCTAAATTCTTCCATCTCACAGAGAAAAGAAGTCAGGTCGAAACTAAATTTTCTTTATCGGCATGAATGTTAATACAACAGTATTGCCAGAGATAAAGGAAAGTACAAAAAAAATAAAATAAAAATTTATTCATATACAGTTGTATGCAAAAGTTAAGCCACCTTTTACAATTTCCATGATTTTCATTTATTAATAATTGGGTGTTTGGATCAGCAATTTAATTTTGAGTTATCAAATAACTGAAAGACACAGTAATATTTCAATAGTGAAATAAGGTTTATTGGATGAACAGAAAATGTGCAATATGCATCAAAACGAAAGTAGACAGTTTCATAAATATCACATAAATATCACATCTATATTTAGTTGAGCCTCCTTTAGCAGAAATAACTCAATTCAATTTTATTTATATAGCACCAAATCACAACAACAGTTATCTCACAGCGCTTTTCATAAAAGAGCAGGTCTAGACCGTACTCTATGATGTTATTTACAGGGGGGGAGAGGGAGAGGGAGAGAGGGAGAGGGAGAGGAGAGGCGAGGGGAGGGAGGCAGCCTACACAATATACACACAGAGGTACAGACAGTAAAGGTGATGTTGCTATAGACTAAATGAAAAATGGTACAGATATTTATAGTAGTGTTAATGATAACAATCATAATGTTAATGATTATAATAACAATAATAACAGTAGGACTAGTAACAATACAGGTGCTGGTCATATAATTAGAATATCATCAAAAAGTTGATTTATTTCAGTAATTCCATTCAAAAAGTGAAACTTGTATAATGTATACATTCATTCCACTCAGACTGATATATTTCAAGTGTTCATGCCTTTTAATTTTGATGATTATAACTGACATCTAATGAAAACCAAAATCAGAATCAACTGGTGCCACACTCTAATCAGCTAATTAACTCAAAACACCTGCAAAGGCCTTTAAATGGTCTCTCAGTCTAGTTCTGTAGGCTACACAATCATGGGGAAGACTGCTGACTTGACAGCTGCACAAGGAGGGCAAGACACAAAAGGTCATTGCTAAAGAGGTTGGCTGTTCACAGAGCTCTGTGTCCAAGCACAGAGGCAAAGGGAAGGAAAAGATGTGGTAGAAAAAAGTGTACAAGCAATAGGGATAACTGCACCCTGGAGAGGATTGTGAAACAAAGCCCATTCAATAATGTGGGGGAGATTCACAAAGAGTGGACTGCATCTGGAGTCAGTGCTTCAAGAACCACCACGCACAGACGTATGCAAGACATGGGTTTCAGCTGTCGCATTCCTTGTGTCAAGCCACTCTTGAACAAGACACAGCGTCAGAAGCGTCTCGCCTGGGCTAAAGACAAAAAGGACTGGACTGCTGCTGAGTGGTCCAAAGTTATGTTCTCTGATGAAAGTAAATTTTGCATTTCCTTTGGAAATCAAGGTCCCAGAGTCTGGAGGAAGAGAGGAGAGGCAAAGAATCCACGTTGTTTGAAGTCCAGTGTATTTCCACAGTCAGTGATGGTTTGGGGTGCCATGTCATCTGCTGGTGTTGGTCCACTGTGTTTTCTGAGGTCCAAGGTCAACGTGCTTCCTGCTGCTGACCAACTTTATGGAGATGCAGATTTCATTTTCCAACAGGACTTGGCACCTGCACACAGTGCCAAAGCTACCAGTACCTGGTTTAAGGAACATGGTATCCCTGTTCTTAATTGGCCAGCAAACTGGCCTGACCTTAACCCTACAGAAAATCTATGGGGTATTGTGAAGAGGAAGATGCGATATGCCAGACCCAACAATGCAGAAGAGCTGAAGGCCACTATCAGAGCAACCTGGGCCCTCATAACACCTGAGCAGTGCCACAGACTGATGGACTACAGGCCACGCCGCATTGCTGCAGTAATTCAGGCAAAAGGAGCCCCAACTAAGTATTGAGTGCTGTACATGCTCATACTTTTCATGTTCATACTTTTCAGTTGGCCAACATTTCTAAAAATCCTTTTTTTGTATTGGTCTTAAGTAATAAAGTAACGGAGATACTGAATTTGGGATTTTCATTAGTTGTCAGTTTTAGTCATCAATTAAATGAAATAAACATTTGAAATATATCAGTCTGTGTGGAATGAATGAATATAATATCCAAGTTTCACTTTTTGAATGGAATTACTGAAATAAATCAACTTTTTGATGATATTCTAAGTATATGACCAGCACCTGTAGTTGTAGCAGAGGGTGTCGAGCAGGAACACGGGGGCAGCAGGTGACCCGCAACCACAGATCCAGACTCCACAGCTCCAGAGCCAGAAACACCTGCAGAAAGTGATAGGAGGAGAGAGGAGAGGGACAAGAAAGCACAAGACTACGGGAAAGGGGAGAAGTTGTGTTAGTAACATGCAATAATGGGATGAGGTTGCATACTGAGGGAGAGAAAGTAGAGGAGAGAGGAGCTCAGTGCATCATGGGAAATCCCCCGGCAGTCTAGGCCTATAGCAGCATAACTAAGGGATGGTTCAGGACTCACTTGAGCCAGCCCTAACTATAAGCTTTATCAAAAGGAAAGTCTTAAGCCTACTCTTAAATGTGGAGATGGTGTCTGCCTCCTGAACCCAAACTGGAACCTGGTTCCACAGGAGAGGAGCTTGATAGCTGAACGCTCTGGCTCCAAGTCTACTTTTGGAGACTCTAGGAACCACAAGTAACCCTGCATTCTGGGAGCGCAGTGCTCTGGTGGGGTAGTAAGGTACTATGAGCTCTTTAAGATAAGATGGTGCCTGACCATTATGACCTTTGTAGGTGAGAAGAATAACAGGAGAAATGTGATCTCTTTTCCTGGTTCCTGTCAGAACACGTGCTGCAGCATTCTGAATCAGCTGAAGAGTCTTAATGGACTTTTTCGAGCAGCCTGATAATAAGGAATTGCAGTAATCCAGCCTAGAAGTAACAAATGCATGGACTAGTTTTTCTGCATCATTTTTAGACAGGATGTTCCTGATTTTCGCAATATTACGTAGGTGAAAAAAGGTGGTCCTTGAAATTTGCTTAATGTGAGACTTAAACGACATGTCCTGATCAAAGATAACTCCAAAATTCCTGACAGTGGTGCTGGAGGCCAGGGCGATGCCATCAAGGGAAACTATATCTTTAGATAATACGTCACGGAGGTGCTTGGGCCCCAGAACAATAACTTCAGTTTTATCTGAGTTTATCATTAGAAAATTACAGGTCATCCAGGTTTTAACATCCTGAAGGCACATTTGAAGTTTAGCTAACTGATCAGTTTCATCTGGCTTGATCGGCTGATAACAGCCTCTAGACGCTTCCTATAGCCTGTAATGAGTGTCTGGATTCTGGATGAAGGTATTTTGGACCATTCCTCCTTGCAAAACATCTCCAGTTTCCTTAGGTTTGATGGTTGCCGAGAATGGACAGCCCGCTTCAAATCACCCCACAGATTTTCAATGATATTCAGGTCTGTGGACTGGGATGGTCATTCCAGAAAATTGTACTTGTTCCTCTGCATAAATGCCAGAGTAGATTTTGAGCAGAGTTTTGGGTCGTTGTCTTGTTGAAATATCCAGTAATTTCAACTTTGTGACTGATTCTGCTACATACGTCCACGA